TTTTTTTTTTTTTTTAAATCCAGTTTTTTTTTTTTTTTTTTTTTCATAAAGAAGATCAGAGCAATGTCACATCAGTTGGTGTAATGCTCCTTTAATCCTTTTACCCTCGCAGTTGTGCTGCGATAAGACAACCACGGCCCAGCAAAGAGGGAAACCTGGACAGGAGCCCTGCGAAGGCCTAAACTGATTGTGTTTGTGTGAGTGTTACAGGAGGATGGAAGATAAACGCTTGCCAGGACCAATGTGCGTTTGTGTGTCCATTTAGACCGTTTGCGGACACGTTCGCCAAGCGCTGTCTGCACGCGTTTTTACGTCTAAGCCTAACGTGTTATGGCTGTATGCGCGTCTCGCTGCAGCGCCAATACAAATTTATAGCCGTGCTCAGAATGAGGTTAATAAAAATCCTCTGTGGATGTGTGTTAAACAGGTTTAAATCCTGCGTGAGTGCGCGCGCGCGCAGGTGTGTGTATGTGACTATGCATGTTTGATGGGACCATCAGCTGATCAGTGAGACGGATGGTGTCGGGCCAGACGCTGCTAATCCAATCAGCTGCCTGAAGCGATGTGATAGGCCAAGAAGCAGGAAGTATGATCTGATTAAAAGGACATTATGGCCATGTGCAGAGCACCCGGAGCCTGGGGGGTGACAGGTGTGATTACACACACACAGATATAGACACATACAATAAAACCTGCCTGCCTAGGCACTTATACGAGCCTCACAACAAATGCAGACATGATTGCCAGGCCAACCAAGGCAGGATTACTGAGTAAGACGGCGCTAACAGAACACAGCAGCAAATAACATACATTTCTGCTTACTATTAATGTTGAACATTCAATCTTCTAAATGAGAGAGTTTAATTTAATTCATTGAAACAGTTTTATTGTGATAAATTTAAAATAAAAAGGATACAACAATCAATTCCTGCCATTTAGCCAAGAGAAAGCAACAATATCAGGAGCGATTTAATTTATCAAATTAGCATTCAAAGATGTTAAATTAAAAAAAAACAATGTTTTTACAAATAAAATGGCACTGGATGCGTGACTGGTTATTTTGTGAGACATTTGACTCTGTTTAGCTGAAAGCTTGTTTGCTTGATGATTTTAGGAAACAGAAAAGTCTGATGTGTCTCATGGACACATTTAAAGATGTTACAAAGAAAGCAGAAAACACAGTGTGCCACTGATAAAATTACCATCAGTGCAGGTTACCATACTTGTAAAAAAAAACTTCAGTAAGTTGATTCTTCTATCAATTATTCTAATGATTAGGGTCCAATCAATCAACCAAGCTTATTTGCATTGTACGTTTCAGGAACGAGGCATTTCAAGATGCTTTACATCCTAAAAATGTAATAGGTCAGGGTTACCAGGACACGACTGAGATGGACAGAGCAGGTGTTACAGAACAGACCCCTGCCTCCTGAGCCGCCGTCGCTCCAATTAGATTAATAATCTCAATTTCCGGACAGATAATAGTTTCTACTTCCTGCTCCATTTGAGGCTGAGAGAAAAATTACAGTTCGCTACAGAAACAGCGGCACACTGCTTAGATGTTTGTATCAGCATCTATAGTGTGATCGGCTACGAGAAATAAAGGCAGCGCAGGCAAAATTGTGGCAAATAAGCAAATAAATTGCATTGCTTTATGAATTCCCCCTTTTTGTTGGTGTCATATTTGTACCTTTTTGGTGAGATTCTGATCCTGGTCAGGGGGCATGCGAGTGGACACATGATAGATGACTTCAGTCGTGGATGTGGCATAGTAAGGCGTCGTCTGGCCAGTGCTGTGATTTCTCTGAAGGCCTCCCATGAACCCACAGTGAGTCTTGAGGTCGACCTAATGCATAACATTAACATGCATAATGACAATCTTGTTTTCATCTTGAAAACGCAAACCTCCTGTGAAGTTTCAAGAACACCGTAAAAGATAAATGTGTATTTCTGACTTGGAATTCAGGATTTTCGGAAAATCCATGCCTGCCATGTTTAAATAATTTGTCTACTTTATGATTTAGGATGACAAATGCTCCCAGTAAGTGCAGAGTATGTAAGAAAAAGTTTTAGTACCTCCCAGCCCAGTCCTGAAACAAAGTCTTCATAAGCCTGGCTGCCAGCGGTGTTGGTGAGTATGGAGTGTTTATCCTCTTGGCCTTCAGCCACGTAAAATACTGCGATCTTATGAGTCTCTCGGCTGAAAGACAATGACAGAAAGTAATCAGCACCAACGGGGAGTTGGTTTGAACTCTCAGGCTAATAAAAAGGTTTCAGAGAGGAGTTAAAGGAGGTTCACAGAGGAAGATAAGCGCTGCTCACCACTGCCGTGAGTCTAGGTTCTTCAGCTCTCTCAGTAACTTCTCGTTCTTCCTCAACAAATGAAAGTTACTCCTGCAAGAAACAGATAAACGCGCTACAAGTCATTACCGAGGCCTGCCAACACGGCTTTGAGTTAAAATATCTTAATCCTTTACCTTGATTTATTTGAAATGACACACAAGTCTGTGTGTAAGAATAATTGATGCTTGTATGGAATGTTAAAATCTACAGAAAAGATCATCTTTTTGTGCGACTCCATCAGCATACATTTCCATTCAGTAACGTAGATTGCCATTCACTTTAAATCCCAACTATTTATAGGACAGGCAATAAATACTTTATAGGAATACAAGTATTTATACTTCAAGTCTTTATACTTTATAAAGACTTTATAGGAAACTGGAATTGTGACAAAACGAGGCTGTACCAGGACCCAAATATATCTCAAAGCCTTGCACATTGAACAACGTACTAAAAATACTCCAACTGCTCTGTGTTACAGAACTGCAGCATGTGTGCAGAGTGATTACTTATGGCCATCAAGGCTAATGGGTATTATACTTGCCAATCTGTAGATTGGGAGGTTAAGTAAGGAACAAAGCTTACTTAGAGAGGGGTAGGACCCTCGATGACCTGGAGAGATTGTAAAGGTCCAACCTGGAACGCTAATTTATGTCAGGTTGGCAAAACGTGTTGCATTGATTTTAGTAGGTTAAAAATAGTGGTGGAAACAAGAATAGATATTTTTCATCATGAAAATATATTAAAGGTTGCATTTTTCTTACTCTTTCATACTTTGCGTTCATTATAGAAATAGAGCTACTTGGAGAGAGGCTCCAAGAGGTTATTAGGAGCTGCAGATAAATACAAAACTAATAGATTATGGCTAAAAGAACAAGATTCACAAACCAAGAGTGTCTGACTTGCCTGACTATCAATTCAAAGAAAAAATAAAATCTTCCTAAGCATAAAAAGACTGTCCTGAACTTCTTGACAAGCATGTTTAACACCTTTTGAAAATCAAGCCTCTGACTTCAAAAACCATCAAGCTGCTGAAGACCTCCTGTTTACTCCTAGTTTGTGGGGGGAAAAGTCTAAACATCCAAAGTTTCGACACTTTCAGGCTCTCAAGAAAGAAAGATGGGCTGTGATTTTTAAGAAAAACAAAAGCCTTTCATGCAGAATAATTTATCTAAAGGCGGTTGAAACTGTGCCAACAAGCGACCCTCAACCTCTGTACGGCTGATATGAAAACCAAGAGTAGGGCAGCGAAGCTTGGAGTGGACTGATAATGACACGCCGTTCTTTTCACTCTTAGAAAAAGGGAAAAAGAGTGAGGGAGTGCAGGAGATAAACAGAGAGAGGTAAAGAAAAGGAGAGAGAGAGAGAGAGAGAGAGAGAGGGAGAGAGAGAGAGAGAAAATGAGAGAGAGCAATTTGCTCTTTATTAAAGTGATACTTGGTAATGGCCTCATTCTCTGCTCTCAAAGACTCCATTTACACCCTGGATTATAGGGAAAAGCATAAAAGGGGATACACATGGGTGACTGTCAGTATCTTAGTGTCTGTAATGCCTCATATGAATACCTGGAGAGACGTCGGTGACAATAACAGATGATTAGACAACATCTCCTTTTCTCCCCCCCTTTCATTCTTATCTGCCTCCTTATTTTCCCTTTAAGTTTCTTGAGCTTTCATTTCAGTCTTTTTTGCTTCATTATTTATTTTCTTTATTATCATTACGACTAAATCTGCATGGGTCTGAATCATCTTGGTTTCTGATTTGCCACAGCCCCCTCAATCGCGCTTTTCTTCAACTACTGCTTTTTTATTCTGACACCAAATGGGCCGAGTTTGATCAATAGAGCGCTGTCCTCATTATCACGCGCACACACACGAGCATGTGGAGAAGTCCATTGTGTGGCTCTGAATGCAGAAAGTGTAATTCCCTGGATAAAGTATAAAGAGTGATGAGCGTCCATTAGCCGGCCAGGCGCATTTAAAGCAATACCCCGACATTGTGAGTTCCAGCTCCGAGTCATTGAGAAGATGAAATGCTGCACGATGTGAATGGGGAGAAATATAGCCCCTAATTAGCTCAATGTAGTTCACCTTTTTCTTTTATATGCATTAGGCAAACATTTGGTTTTGCTCTGGAGAAGAGCAAAATACAGAAGACATCCCACACATACCTTTTATGAAATTACCCTTCATTCGAAACATCTCATGCTAAAATGTGCAAAGAAATCTTCTTGCTAGGTTCGTTGCTTAGGTGAAAATCCTGCATCCTTAAACTTATTATGGGATAATCCAGGCTGTCTGTGCGTTGTGATGTAAAAGTACAAGACTTTTCCAGATTTAAATTAGAAGGGTGCCATTCCTTTTAAAGCAGGGGGGTCAAACTCATTTTCATTTTGGGCCAAATTGAGGCCATGAAGGGCCAGTTGTGGCAAAATGTATTAATAAAACCATCCATTAATAAACTGTTAAAAGATTAACTGAGCATATAGTCATATTAATGTATTTTAGCACTACACAGATAAAAACTGCTTTGATCTGACTGATGAAATAGTATTTAAGCACACAACTGATGTCTTTAAAGTCCTATTTCTGTGGCCCTCATAAAAAGTTGTGGCGGGCCGATTCTTTAGTTTGACACTTATGTTTTAAGGCAATGTTTAAAGTAGAAACTCCAAAGTTCACTGTGAATTTATTACTGTTATTTCTACGGTGTACAGGCTTTCCAAATATGAAACTTTGAAATAAAAAATAAAAACTGGATGATTGATTGGATGGATAGATTCATCACTATGTGGAAGGAGAGACCTGGACTGAGGTTTTTGATAACAAAACAGGAAATGTTTTAAATCTCATTTCTTTATTCTCGCTTTTGCGGACCTGGATAATACTTCACAACACAAGACTAAACAAAAAAGCAAAACGACTGACGTAAGCAAAGAAAAGAAAGAACTTGACCAAAAGATAGCAGAATGATACTTTGAACATCGAGTTAGATTTAAATAGCACTTCAACACAATTTTCCATTATTGTTGAGGAAGCCTTACCTCTTCTCCCAGGAGTTGAGTCCCAGTATGTTGATGAGCAGCCTACAATAGTAGAAGGCCGACTGAGGCGTCTCAGCCTCTGGTTCGGTCTGCTGCGTTGCTCTCATGTTCAGCTCCTCACCTCTCTAAGGAGAAAATGTGTCAAGAAAATGAAGTACCAAGGATGATTTGATTTTACAGTTTCTGACGAAAGAAAAAAAAAATGGAATAACCAGTCTTAAAGGAAGCTCAATCAGTAGCTCTAGTTTGTAGCAAAACTCTAATCACAGTTAAGACACCAAACTATTTGCATGGTTTTTGCTTGAGGCGTAAAAATAAGATGCAGCTTCCAACAATTTTAATAAATGCCGCTCTTTCATGACACATTCATCTATGATGTAACGGCTGACTCATTGAGAAAATTGCCCATCTTGTAAAGCTTGTTGGCTGCATCTCGTTTGTATGGGATGGAACAATAAAAAAAAGTTTAGACTTCTTGCAGAGACGGCCACAGAGACAGGAATAACAAACCAGAGTTTACACTAAATGGAGATTATTTTTCATAAGGAGAATCTAAGCAACGCACGTGAAGGACAAACTCTCGCTCTGCAGCACTCTGTTTCAAGATGGCGTTGATCACATCGTTCTCCTGCTTCTCTGACACACACCCTGGAGGGGGGGCCGGGATGTTGAGTGGCATGCCTGTGAGAACCAGTGGGGAATCAAAATTTGTTTGGAAACCGTTTTTGGTTTTACAGCTCTATACCTGAAACATTACAACACACGAGTTCATGAATTCTAGTCTAACTTCAATATATTAAAAAAAATGCTTGCATTTTATTTTATTTTTAAAGGTTAAATTATTGTTTCAGTTCACATCACCAAACATACCTGCTCTCTGTAGACACTCTGGACTCGAGTAACCCAGGTACTGCAGCATCTCATCCAGCGCATCATCTCCATCTTCCAGAGAGTTCCATGCTGGCACCGCCTCCCGACACACTCGCTTAGCTAGTGGTGGAGCAAGAAGCTTTTCCGAACCCGAATCCTCGTCCGCGTGATGGACATGCATCTCTGCCTCCTCCTCCTGCTGCTCTATCTCTTCCACGGGTTCAACGTTTCCCCCTCCTCCTGGATCTTCCCTCTCCTCATCACCGACTTTTCCTTCCTCCTCGGCTACTTGAAACTCTTGTCTGTCACTTTCCATCTCTCCTTCTTCCTCCTCTGGCCCCCGCTCCTCCTGCCCGTCTGCTTCATCATCTTCCTCCTTCAACTCCATCTTGTTCTGCGGACCTCCTGGTGGAGTGCATAATTGAAGGTTTGCGCTGCGCGGCGACTGCATCTGTGTTAAAAGCGTGCGCGCTGGACTGTTCGGGGAGCACAGCGGAGGCCCGTAGAGGACGGCCGAGTCCCAGGAGTGTTTTCCTGCGACATCTCGGATGATGACACGGACGCAAGCAGGAGCAGAGGACAAGCCAGCCGTCATTCCTCCTCCCGGGACACCGGACTCTGCTCGGATCTGGGAAAAACAGGGAATAGCAGGAAATGCTAAAGTTCTGAAATGAAAATGCAACGAATGACGATAACAGTCGATGTATATCCAGTCCTGGAAAAATCAAACTACACACTTTTCCAGACCACGCAGAAATACTGCAACTAGGATCTAAACGTGTAATTGTCAGCTCAGTTGAGATAAATTGTCATTATGTCAGGAAAAAACAATAATGACACTTCGGATGACGTTACCTGGAGAACAGACAGCAGGGTGGAGCCGTTCAGAACCAGAAACTGAAGGTTTGGCGAATTGAAGAGTTCTGGTCCGAGATCTGGACTCCCACAGAACGGGTTGTCTTGGTTTTCACACACCTGTGAACAGACGTCAAGTTAGCAAAGTAAAAAAGAAAAATAATAACAAAAACAATACTTAAATGAATCCCTCTCCCTTAGTAAGGAGCTATAAAATCTTACTAGACCAAAAAGTTAGAGCACCTGACTGGACAGAGTTGCGGGCCCTCCGGACATTGGATAATGTCCCAGATGATTCACCAGATGGGTTATAACGGTTCTGGCTGCAATGGAAACCAGGCCTTGCTGGATACGGCTACGAACTGCAAAGAATAAAAGAGTGTTCTTCTAGCTAAGTTGTTTCATTTTAATTTCCCTTTACGTGTGTTTACATGGTATAATTTGTCACATCGTTCACAAACACACAACATCATCATATGATTGCAACAAAGTTGTTGACAATAAATCCACAAGGATCTATCCTAGAATCATGATTATTCATAGTAATTGTTGATCTCTGCCCAAATCATGGCTGTCAAACATATCAGCAGATCTAACAATTCTTAAAATAAGTGGAGTTGACGCGGTTTTAAAAAACTATTTTTCAATTTTGGATTCATGACTTCCTGATATCTCGTGGGGGCATCAAGACGTTTAGTAGGGATTTACTTCTCTCTCCTGCCATCTTAAATGCAAATATTACGTTTCAAAACAATTTTGAAACTCAGATTAGGCTTTTCAGCAACAAACATCCAAGTGGGTCTGAAAGGGTTAAAAGGATATGAATGTGGAAAAACCTCTCTCGCTCACTGTTAAGTATGGCAGAGGATCTGATATGCATTATTATCTGTTATTCTTTCTCTTCCAAAATGCCCTGGGAAATCTGTGAGACCTCATGGGATCATGAACTCTTTAGAAATAAAAGGACATTTAAAATAAAATCTGCTACTTTCCATCAGTAAATTCAAAACATACAGCGAATGTAAAAGTAACCTCCATCTCAGTCCTCAGAACTAATGGAAATTGTTAAGGTGAAGTGACAAAAAAGCTGAACAAAACTAAGATTTGAATGTAAAATTCAGTATTATTTACAAGTTCAATCTTTATGTGCCTTATTCTAACTGAATGAAGGTCGTCCCCCTGCAGAAGAAGCCAGTGTCATCACATACAGCCCTGAAAGTAGATCCTTGTTAATAAACACTGTCACATAGAAACACACACAATGACGCATGCAGACTTCCTAATGAGTCCTTATTGACAGATTGATTGGTGAGTACAGATATGTATTGATCGGGCACTCTCAGTGACACCCTAAGCCTCGGGGCTTGGCTCAGGATAAGGAGACAAAATGAGAAAAAGAAAGAAAACGTAATGAAGGCAGTAGGATGTTGCAGAAGTTAAAAATATAGCCGAAGAAAAACGAGAAGAGATGAGAAGAGAAGACAAGGCGAGAGACGAAAAGAGGAGAGGGGAGAAGAGAAGCATGGTGTATCAAGGTGAATCGGTCATTAGACTCCTCTCTGAGTCCCGTTGGATCATGAGTCCCGTTGGATCATAGCAGGAGGCAATAAAGTCACTCGCATGGAGTGAGCAGGAAGGTGTGTCTGCATACACATACCTTTCCGGTCAAATTGTGCAAAGATTTTGTAGATTTGTGTGCGCGTTTCTGTTTCTGTGTCCGTGCATCACTTTGCATGAGCGGAACACGCGTCGGCTCATTACAGAGCTAGATTGGATAAATTACCTTCAGTGACGGGCTGCAGTTTGCTGGAGCGCTCCGAGTCTGGGCTGTGCAGAGGTTCTGGTTCGCGGAGGCTCTCCAATGGCAGGAACGGGTCGTAGTCTGAACTCGACAGGTCCGACAGCTGCAGTGGGAAGTACTTGGGACTGCTGAAAGACTGCGCTCCATAAACGCACCCATGCAGGACCTGTACATGTTACAAGGAGAGCAGTTTTAAAAAAAAAAAAAAAGCCCAACTATGTCTGTGAGTCTGTGTTACTCTGGCCAAGGCACTGCAGCAGCTACAGACACGTTTACCTTGTAAATACAGCTGAGCAGCGTTTTGGTCGGTTGCTCCTTTTCTGGAGGGCTTCGTGTTTGTACAGGCTGGAGAAGAGTCTTTGGGGGCAGAGCCATCACCCAGTCCAACAAGCACAACAGAAGGGAAACTACTAGCTGCAGAAAACACAGCAAGACATGCATGAACCCGCTTTCTCTGGACGTCTCGTTCTACAGAACATTTTAAAAAGCATACAGAGATTTGTTACCCTCTTATCCAGCTCGTAAGAGGAGGACTCGGTGCTAGGCAGCAGATATGTGATAGTGGCAATCAGAATCTAAAGGGGAGGGTGGGGGAGGCAAACCTAGTTTAGGACTTTAAAATTGTAGTAATTTTATAAAATGGAAAATCTCTAATATGGAAAAGTACCTCTACAATCTTCTTTGGAGTGTCAGGGGGGAATTTCTGAAGATGATCCACGTAACTGATGAGGAGGTGAAGGATGTCTGAGGCCACCAAGGCTACCGTCTTATTGGGGTACTAGGAAACGGAAATAAAATTATTTAAACATAACCTAAAGTGAACAGAAAAAAACTAATCAGATCTCCTCTTGTCATTACTTATTAAACAAAGACAAACAACATGAAAGAAAGTAGAATATACAATGTTTCAACAACCTGTATAATCACCTTTAGCAGCAATAACTTTTATTAACCGTTTTCTGTTTGTTACACCATTTTGTTACAGAATTTTGGCCCACTTTTATTACCGTTCTTTGAGATTGAATGAAATGAAAATAAATATATGGTGCCTTTTTAAAAAAAACAAAAAAAAACTATCTGCCCAATAATAAAATAAACAAGCAAACTCTATAACCAGGTTTTTGTTGAAAATTGATTTACAGAAAGGCTCATGCACCTTTGTGTCATTATAGCACAAGCCTACAATATCTAGCATACTCATTGTGATTATTTTTTTAATCTGAGCTCTGCAACCCAGAGGTAAATTTAAAAGTTTGTCAATGTTTGTGGTGCTATTTACCACGAAATTAAGATGAATGCAGAAACACTAATACATTAGAAATCATTTAAATCATAATAATAAAACAATCCGCTACATAAGTTTTGAATTTTTGTAAGAAGCTTTAAAACGCCATATTAACATTAATCTCTGTCAAATTAAACTAAAATCTGTAGCTGTCAGTAAACTGCATAATGTCACAATAAAACTCAGAGTGATTAATGAGAAAAGGCTGGATTTAAACCTCAGGCACAAACAAGAGCCAACGCCCGAAAACCAAAAATGCTTGTTGATGAAAGGAAAGGAAGATGAGGCGGCCAAGAGGAGGAAGTGGCTCTGCATGGAAATATGACAATCCCTTAAGCTTTGTGTATAATTGTGTGTACATGTAACAGAGCCTGTAGCTGAGGCGACTGGCTGCTGCCACCAAGGCAGGAGATTCAGAATTGACAAAGACATGAGTGTATATTTATGTAAGAGAGCGAGTGTGTGTGTGTGTGTGTGTGTGTGTGTCGCAGCTTGCAGCATTCCCTTTGGATTAGGCTCCTATCTGAAGGAGAACCAAACATATTTGCAGTCCAGGTTTTGCTCCCAAGAGCAAGTGAATGGAAATGTGCACTGGTGCAGTTCCTTTAAAAAAAAAAAAAAAAAACATTGGCTGCCGATACACAAACTGGGGATTCCAAGGTCGAAAAGGTATGTGTGTGTCTGTTTCTGTCCGTCTAGAACCACTTGGCTCGGGATGAGACAGTAAATGTTGGACAGCATTGTTCTGATCCACTGGCCTGTCATTACAGAGCCGGACAATAACAACTGCGACAGTTTTACAAAGAGCAGCAAACATCTCCAGTCGCAAATATTAGGCTGTTATTCTGGTGCAACCAAATGATCTACAACTAAAATGTAAGTAGATATTTCTCTACATAAAAAAAAACTAATAGAGTTATACAGTGAATGGTAGAAATCAAGCATCATAAATTATTTTTTAGAATTTTTCAAAAGAAAATTATATTATTTGAAAATCTGAATTATCTCCTGCAAGACAATAAATGGAAGAAATTTTGGCCTTTAATTAAATAAATAAATAAAAATAAACATATTCTGACTATATGTGCATTAACTTACTAATTTAAACTTAAATTTAGAGACTACATTTATGTACTTACATCAGGGTTCCTACAAATTTTTATGTCAAATAGGGCTGCCACCATCTAACTACCAATTCTTTTTTTCTTTCAGCTATTAACTGAGATTTTGATTAAACAGATTAATCTAAAATCAACAGTTTTCTCCAAATTTATTTAAAATTCTTACATTTACAGAAGAACTATGGAAAAAGTACAGGAATGCTAATCAAGCTCAGGGATGCTGCTAATGATAATTTTAGTAATGGATTATTGTTCCAACTATTCTGACGATTAATCAAAAAAAACAAAATTTATTCAGACGTTTTCTCATTTAACCAAGCTTTTAACCCACTAATAAATGGATATCAAACTGGGCTTAGTGGGAGATTTTGTTTTTCAGAATCTCAACCAGGTGAAGCTAGAATGAGTTCTGGGTACAACATATTTACAAAGACGGTTTTTCATCTTAAATGCAAAATGTACAAATGTTTGTACATTTTTTGGTTTATTTAATGCACTGAGAATATTATTCTTACAGCCTTTTGGGGTTAGAAAACTCCAATTCACAATTAGTCAGTTGCTAAATTAGTTCACCATTATTTGAATAATTGGTTCATCATGATTAATCTGACTGTTTCAGCCTTAGCAAAGGTATGTAATTAAGTATTTATTCATTCATGTTGAGGAGAAAAAAACAACAACAGATGCTTAAACCAAAAAATGTTCGCTTCCTCACAGATTCAAAGTCCATAATTTGACTGAGGTTCAATCCAAACACCCCACCCCCCCCCCCCCCCCCCCCCCCCCCCCCCCCCCTCCCTCCCC